GCCACGTGTTTCGCTAACGACTCCCCTTTCCCCTTCCCCCCTCCCTCCTTCCCCCCCCTCCTTCCCCACCTCACCCACCTCTCAACTTCCCCTTCCACCCTCGTCTTCTCCCTCTTACCTTTCTCTCTCTCTCTCTCTCTCTCTCTCTCTCTCTCTCTCTCTCTCTCTCTCTCTCTCTCTCCTCTTTCTCCCTTTCTCTCTCGTTCCACCTCTCTCCCTTCCCTTTCGTTCCACCTCTTATGCTTTTCCTTCTCCTTCCCCGTCTCTCCCTCCCTCTCTTTATTACTCTCTCCCCTTCCCCCTCTCCCTCCTCTCCCTCTCTCTCACCCTCTCTTCCTCCCTCGTTCCCCCTCCCCCTCTCCCTCTCCCTCTCTCACCCCCTCTTCCTCCCTCCTTCCCCCTCCCCCTCTCCCTCTCCCACTCTCTCTTCCCCCCTCTCCCTCTCTCTCTCCCCTCTCCCTCTCCCTCTCTCTCCCTCCCGGCCTATATGTAACTAGATATCAAGAGTTACCAACGAGTATAATATTCTCATGTTTACGTATTACAGAGATTTGCCCCGACCGCTTCCCTAGCCCTCGGTTTCCCTCCGTGTCGACTGTTGCTTCGTCTAAGCGTCTGTCGGACTGTCTGCTCCCCCATTTTGGCCGTTCGCGTAGTAGCGTGTTATGAATCTCCTTGAATCCTAATGAATCCTAATGAATGAGATAGAGAACATTAATCATTATGTGATTAATCCGTTTCTTTAAATAAGGCGAAAAGGAAGATAGAGAGAGAGAAATAGAGTAACGGTGAATCGCTGGATCTTGTGACTTAGAGTAACAGCTTATTAAAAAAAAAAAAAAAAAGAAAAAAAAAAAAATTGTCGAAATTTTGTCACCTAGTAATAGATTCATTTCATAATAAATTAATTAGATAACAGATTAATTAGACACAAAAACAGTCAGAATACCTATTTAAAAACCAGTCTCTTACACTCTATTAATTTGAGCCAAACCAGCAAGCTCTGTGAGACACGTATACAGTTCGGGCTTATTGATTTTATGCAGAATTCGTACGTTTATTTGGATCTCATGACACGCGCCTGGACGGGGGGAGAGGGGGAGAGAGGGGGAGGGGTGGAAAGGGGGGGAAGAGAGGGAGATGAGGGAGATGGGGAGAGGAGATAGAAGGGGAGGGAAAGAGAAGGGGAGAGAGGGAGATGGGAGATGGGAGAGGGAAGGGGAAGAGGAGGGCGAGGAGAGGGAGATGAGGGAGAAGGGGAGAGGAGATAGAAGGGGAGGGAAAAAGAAGGGAAGAGGGGTAGAGTGGGAGATGGGAGAGGGAAGGGGGAGAGGGGGGGGAGGAGAGGGAAGAGGGGAGGAGAGGGAGGTGAGAAGGGGAGGGGAGGGAGAGGAGAGAAGGTGAAGGGCAGTTGGGAGGGGGAAGGGGAAAGAGAGGAGGGGGAGGAAGGAAAGAGGGGAGAGGAGGAGAGAGGAAGAAGGGGAGATAGGAAGGGGGAGTGAAGCAGAGGGGGAGAGGGGAAGGAGGGAGAAGGGGAGAGGAGGAGAATATTTGACTGTCTGCGACCATCAATTTCTCTCTCTCTCTCGATTCACGTGTGTTATTTTCGTCTCTATCTTTTCAAAGAAATTGACGCCAATCAGGAAAATAAACTGAAATAGAATAAGATAAAATAAAACAAAAAGAGGAAGAGATTTTAAAAAATAATAATAAAAAAAACGAAGCTGAAAGAAAATGAAGAAAAAGAAAAAAAAAAAACGAGATAAAAATACGAAATAGATAACCCGAGATGAGATGGAGTTGCACGAAAGATAATTTTCTTATCTCAACAAGACGCAGGAGATGCCATGGCCGCCTCGCAGTGCCTGGGCCACGTGGCACTGAGGGGCCGGTGCCAACGGAATATCGGAAGGGAGCTTTGATAACAACGAGTCTTGATATTGTTGTCTGCAGAGGAAGATACATATATTCATATACATATACATACGTGCACACACACACACATAGACACATACACATACACACACACACACGCACACATACATACATATGTACATATATATATATATATATATATATATATATATATATATATATATATATATATATATATATATATATATATAAAGAGAGAGAGAGAGAGAGAGAAATAGATAGATATACATATATACAAACATATATAAGTATACATAGAGATAGATAGACACAATAGACACATAGATAAAAAAAAAATAGATGCATTGATATAAATATACATATAAAAATATTTATAGATAGATATAGATATAAACATATACATACACGTATTTCTTTTTGTACGAGTCATCATATCCATATTCATAAATTTATGCATTTGTTCCTTTTATATCCGACCGAATGGCACGAAAAAAAAGAAGAAAAAAAAAGTTACGAATCATGAACAAAACACGAAACAAGGGGATAAAAGGGGAAGGAGGTTTCGATTATTCTCCATTCTTCCTCCTTTCTCTTCCTCTTTCTC